GCTCTGCTCAGCTTAGTTCAGTTTAGCTCAACTCTGCTCATCTTAGCTCTGCTCAGCTCAGACCTGCTCAGCCCTGTGTCGCAAATCGCACACAAGCATGCAGGCAGCCAGGCGCCTACCTAGTTTGTGTCTGCTGAAGACCAGTGCTGGCCAGAGCACAGGGAAATATGGACGAGGAGGATGAATTGAACTTCTGTCCTATTTCGGTTTTACCCTAACTTTCGGAATTTGGTCACAAAGGTCCTACTGGTCCAAGTGTCCTTCCATGTGGCTCAAAGGGCAAAGACATTTCTCCTCCTGCGATCAAGCGTTTGAGCCTGGATTACTTCACTAGCCACTTATAGGTCAGGATTCTAGTGACAAGTTCCAAAATAATTTAAAAGAGAATCCAAGTTTGCAGGGAAAAATTTAAACAATTGACAAAGACCTCTTCAACAATTTAACCTTACAAACCTTATACAGTAATATATATAGTGTGCAACCAAATAGTCTTAACTTCAGCCATCAAAGTAAACACAGACTCACTCTAAATAAATGATGTACCTAATGTAAAAAGGTGATTTTGTATCTTTTGTTCATGACACAGATATAAAAGAAGAATCATAAAATATTTTGAGTGTAACAAGAATCTTATTTCTTTTTTTCTCTTACTTTGACCATGTACTGGGTTCTCTTTGCAAGAACACCAGAACATAATTGAGGTTTCCACAGTATGTTTGTTTTCAAAACAAAGTCAACATCTTTATTAGATTATCCCTTTAGATACAATTTGTAATTTGTTTTAGAGCAATTTTTACTTTCATCCTCTAATTGCATCCTGTAGATAAAGTAAAGTCTACAGCCTCAAAGATGTGTTGTATCGGCACAGCTCTGGACTTTCCCTGCTGAATTCCCTTGACTTTGCACGGCAGCTGTGCTCTGAGGAAAAGATGACAAATCCAGAGCTGATCTCATTTTCACATTCTCATAAATGTTGTATATCTTTAAACTGCACTGAGATAGAAAGTGCAACCGAAAGAGGAACCTGCCTTCATTTACAAGTCTGATTCAAATAAGCTACTATCATTGACAGGACAAGAAAACTCTCATATAAAATTTGGTGTGTTTTACGCCTGCCTTTTGTGGGCTGGACAATTTCTTTAGCACTTTCATAGTTAGAAACTGCTAAAACTACTATCATATTTTTTAATTCGATATACCAATGCTGAGACACTTCAATAAGTTCTAATTCAATGATGTATTATTAATTTATTGTTAAAAATCATTGATAGATTTGTTAATAAATTATTGGATAATAATATTTCATACAGTTAATAATTAAATAAGTAATAATGTTTTTTTGTTGTTAATTATTTGCACACAGGCCATGCTGTGTCATTTCCATCAGAGGAAATGAAACTGAAAATTTTGAGGATTGACAGTAAGTTTCCATTTCCTAAGGCTGACATCAGCAGGGGTTTATAGGGTTTATATCGGCTGCAGTCCCTCGCCCAAGTCGCACAGCCTCACGGCCTGGAGAAAGAGCAGAAGCAGCAAGAAAGAGCAGCGGCTCACCTTGACGAACTCTGAGGGATTCGCTACT